TAATCATAAATACTTTCACTAACGCCTTTTAACTTAATTTTTTTATTTTTAATAAAATAAAACTTACTAGATACGAAGAAGCCTTCATCAAAAACCTCCTCTCATACAATTTCCCCTAACGCACAATTCAATTTGGATTCGTCATAACCGGCGAATATTGAATCAGTATCCGTATAATATAACTCGCCGCCATCTTTTAAAACTTCTATGAGGGCGTTATTAAGTTTAATACGAGCTTTGGACGCTATTACTGCAGCATACGCCACATTTCTCTTTTTATACTCAATATCTCAAATTTTATTTTTATCCAGTATTTTTTGTGATTTTTCGTTTTTAGTAATTTTTAATATATAAGCTTTTCCGACTTTAAAAAAACTTTTTATTTCTGTATACAGCCTGTAAGACTCAAATTCTTGGTCATTCATGCATACAACATACTCCTCGTCCTCTTCATTCATAGCAAACGATCCATAAAGACCATTATTCATGTTTTTACCAAATATCTTATAATATATTCCTTTCTTTCTTATATCGACAAATATGTCTATAAAATCTCTAAAAATAAAATCTTTTTTCTCGTATACAAGAGAGCTGTAATGCTCTATAACCGTACACTTTTTATTTTTAATGGCGTCCAAAATCTCTTCATATCAGTATGTTCCAACAATAATACCTTTAGGAAATAAAAGCTTTTCACCTCTATATGGGAGAAACGGGATATAATCATCACATTTGAATTTGATGGTATGGAAGCCTATGTCGTTTAAATTTAAATTTTCTTTTCGAAAAACGCTTTTACCTATTGGAAATTCCTCACGCATACATTGGGAATACATACCAGTAAAATCAAAATGATGAATTTTTTTTTTGCCGCTAGGATTACCGAAAACCTCACATCTACCCCCAAAATAAGAATTTTTGATATAATTATGTTCGAAAATAGTATTTTTATTTTTATCTATATCTCAAAGATCGTACTTTAGGCAATACAGCTTATAAGATATCGATGAAAATGAAAAAGAATTTTTAATAAGCTTTATGTTGCCATACTTCAATATTAAAGCGATTATCTCGGATAGTACTTCATAAACTATGTCTACATCGTTTTGACAATACTCTAGAGTTTTTTTTTTAACATCAAAAATTAAATTATTGTTTTTAAAAGCTGTATAATCATCATATGAATTAAAGTAAAAATATTCAGGTATAGGTCCTACGTAATTTAAATTCGCATAGCTAATAAATTTATACGGAAAAACACCTTTTGGTTTATTTGTCATAAAGCCAATATTTCCCACAGAAATAGGTATAAGCTTGTAAGAACATCTAAAAATTATATCGAGCTTCATGTATCTAACTTTTATTCAATAAATATTACTATCTCTTATAAACATATCAAAGTAAATGTTTTTTTCTTTTAAACCGTCAATTATCAAAAGACCGTCGAAATTGATATTATGCGTAAAAATCGTGATAGAATCATAGCTGCATACCTGACATACTTTTTCAAGAAAATCTATAACTATATTTTTAGAATATCAAAAAAAGTAATCTTTTTTCTCCAATTTAACGCATATGCAATAAGCAATAACTGTTTCTTCACTGTAAGTTTCTATATCCATAACATTAATATTCATATATTAGTATGGATGATATTCCAGACTAGTATGATGAAAAAAATTGAAAACGAAATAAGCATAGCAATTATATTTTTCTTTAAAATAATCTTTTTATACTGTGCTAAATTATGATACGATAGTCAAAATGAATTTTACTTACTATCTTTACTTATTGGAATTTTTTCAAGAAGTTTTGTTGAACTGTGAAGAGATGTATTTGTATTAAGAAAAAGAGATTTATTTACATTTTTAAAAGTAATAATATCTCCTATGTACTTCTTTATGATAAACGACGTGCTAGAAGAAATGTTTATGAGGAAAAACGAATTAGTTGTTTTTTTTTGGGTATTAGGAATAACCACGTTAAGGTACATTGATATATTAAAAAAAATGTTAAAATAATTTCCAGACTAATATGGTAGAAACAATAGTAATAGAAAAAGCACTTATAGTAATATTCATAATTATGGCAAGTTTGAGTATAACTAAAAAACAAGAAAATTTTGTGGATAAAAGCATATTAGAAAAAATAAACGACATAGATATTACTAATAAGAAAGAAGATATATCATTAAATGAAGAAATTATAGCGTTTCCGTCGAATATGGATAGAAACGTTGAACAAATTAATATAGATCTTTTAAATAATGCAAATATAAACATAACTTGATTAGAAAGAATAAACGACAATTTAACGGTGTTAGTAAGAAGATCAAGAAACTATATAAGAGAAAACATCAATTCTAACTTAATAGAAAGAATTAGAACGAAACTAAACAGAGCTAGAGAAATTTTCGCATCGAACGATGAAAATAATTTTATGCAAGAAAGAGGTTTAATACACAATATAGACAGAAATTTAAACATAGCAGAGAGCATGCTTCAAAACGCAATTAACCCTTATATACCCCCCATAATAATTGGAGGTTCGATAGTATTAGCAGCTATACTAATAGGAGGATTAGCTATGAAATTCAAAAATGATATAATAAAATCAATGGAAGAAACTTCTAGAACGGTAATGACCCCATTTAC